AGTTTATAGGTTTCCAGGAAGGCATCCATTTCATCCAGATTGCTCAGCTTATTGGCATATAGTCGCTGATAATAATTTCTAATAATTGTTTCTATTTAGGTCTCCTACTCCTTTGCCATCTTGCTCCTTCCTATTTTTTATTTTTTTAAGTCATCACATTTTTATTATGTTCAGTTAGCCACCATATAGTACATTTTTTTATGTAGTGTTTATATCGTACATTAGTTTTTTATGTAGTGTTCAATGATGTAATTGCGTATAACACCCAGTGCTCATCACAACTTGTGCCCTCCTTAATACCCATCACCCGGCTATCCCATTCCCCCACTCCCTCCCCTCTGAAATCCTCAGTTTGTTTCCCAGAGTCCATAGTTTCTCATGGTTTATCTCCCTCTCTGATTTCCCCCCCTTCAGTTTTCCCTCCCTTCCCCTATTGTCTTCCGTGCTATTCCTTCTGTTCCACATATGAGTGAAACCATATGGTAATTGTCTTTCTCTGCTTGACTTATTTCACTTAGCATAATCCCCTCCAGTTCCATCCATGTTAATGCAAATGATAAGTATTCATCCTGTCTGATGGCTGAGTAATATTCCATTGTATATATGGACCATATCTTCTTTATCCATTCATCTGTTGAAGGGCATCTCAGCTTCTTCCACAGTTTGGCTATTGTGGAATTGCTGCTATGAACATTGGGGTGTATGTGCCCCTTCTTTTCACTACACCTGTATCTTTGGGTTAAATAACTAGTAGTGCAATTACTGAGTCATAGGGTAGCTCTATTTTTAACTTCTTTAGGAACCGCTACACTGTTTTCCAAAGTGGCTGTACCAGCTTGCATTCCCACCAACAATGTAAGAGGGTTCTCCTTTCTCCACATCCTCGCCAACATTTTTTGTTTCCTACCTTGTTAATTTTTGCCATTCTAACTGGTATAAGGTGGTATCTCATTGCGATTTTAATTTGAATTTCTCTGATGGTTAGTTATGTTGAACATTTTTTCATGTGTCTGTTAGCCATTTGTATGTCTTCTTTGGAGAAGTGTCTGTTCGTGTCTTCTGCCCATTTTTGACTGGATTATTTGTTTTTTGGGTGTTGAGTTTGAAAAGTTCTTTATAGATCTTGGATACCGGCCCTTTATCTATAGTGTCATTTGCAAATATCTCCTCCCAGTCCGTGGGTTGCCTCTTTGTTTTGTTGACTGTTTCCTTTGCTGTGCAGAAGTTTTTATCTCAATGAAGTCCCAAAAGTTCCTTTTCCCTTTTGTTTCCCTTGCCTTTGGAGATGTGTCTTGAAAGAATTTGCTATGGCTGATGTGAAAGAGGTTATTGCCTATGTTATCCTCTAGGATTTTGATAGATTCCTGTCTCACATTGAGGTCTTTCATCCATTTAGAGTTTATCTTTGTATACGGTGTAAGAGAATGGTCCAGTTTCATTCTTCTGTATGTAGCTCTCCAATTTTCCCAGCACCATTTATTGAAGAGGCTGTCTTTTTTTCCATTGGATATTCTTTTCTGCTTTGTCAAAGATTAGTTGACCATAACATTGAGGGTTCATTTCTGGGTTCTCTATTCTGTTCCATTGGTCTATATGTCTGTTTTTGTGCCAATACCATGCTGTCTTGGTGATCACAGCTTTGTTTTAAAGACTTATTTATTTATTTTGAGAGAAAAAGAGAGAGAGAGATTGAGAGAGAGAGAAAGAGCTAGCAGGGGGAGGGGCAGGGGGAGAGGGAGATGGAGAATCCCAAGCTGACTCCCTGCTGAGCACAGAGCCCGACTCAGGGCTTGATTCCACAACCCTGAGATCATGACTTGAGCCAAAATCAAGAGTTGGTTGCTCAATCATCTTATCCACCCAGCACCCCAAGAGACTCTTAACTATAGGAAACAAATTGAGGGTTACTGGAGGGGAGGTGGGGGGGGACAGGGTAATTGGGTGATGGGCAATAAGGAGAGCACTTGATGTAATGAGCACTGGGTGTTATATGCAACTGATAAATCTCTAAATTCTACCCCTTAAACTAACAATATACTATATATTAACTAAATTAAATTTAAATTTAAAAAATTTTTAAATAAATAAAAAAATTAAAAAATAGAGTCAACAGTGATGGTGTTAGGGGAAAAAGCAAGTTTCGATTTCAACTCTCTTCATCTGTAACTCTGAATAAAACCTGTACTTTTTGAGAAGCCATTTAGCAAGCTGAGAGTCATACTGATGGCATTAGGTAAGGTAACAGTAGTTCCTGTAACAAATAAACTCCAAAATGTCATTGACTAAGCACAAAAGTGGTTAATATCCCCCTTCTGTATTAGTGGAGGATGGACAAACAGGTTTGAAAGGAGTCTATTCTCCAACTTCAGGCTTATGGAAGCTCTTCTGCCTTGTATGCACAGCTTTCAAGGTCATCCAAGAGTCCTTTCCATTTTCGTTAACTGAAAAGAAAAAAGAACATGGCAGAGTCCCATGAGGGAGGTTTATATGGGCCAACTTAGAAAGTGGTGCACATCACATCCCTTCACGTTCTACTGGCTATAAATCAGTGAAGTGGTCCCACCTGAGAGCAAGGGGAGCAAGAGGAGCAGGGAGATGTAGATGAAGCCTCATCCTAGTGACAAATCTATAGTCTGGAATCAGGCGTAGAGGGAGTTTTGAATTCTGGGTGGACAGTGGCTTTGCTACACAAGTGATATTAGCTTTTGTCTCCATTATGATCACAGTCATCATCATAGCCAGGAAGAATTGGAACTGTTTTCCAAAGTTCCTTTTAACCCTAAAAGACTACTATATCACAGCCAGAAGGTTGTGAAAGCACTATTTTTCTCCCCTGGGAGACAATAGATTGCTATGGTTAAGAGGAAGTATAGTCTCTGGAGACAGTTTGGGTTTCAAATCCATTTCTATTTTTTACTAGCTATGTGATCTTGGGTGAGATTTACCTTTTGGTCCCCAGTTTCCTCATTAGGAAATGGGCAAGGTTGGCATGTACAGTGCTGACACTGATTCTGGCCCACCCTCTGTTTCTGTTGAAAAAAAAAAAAATCTGTTTTATAAAACAGTCTGTTTTGTTTATTGGAACCACAGCCACCAATGTCAGAGATGGATGTCCCAGCTCAAGCAGAGAGCAAATTCTCCCTTCCTCCATCTAAGTTTTTCTTAGACCCTCAGGTGGATTGAATGATGATGCCCTCATTGGTGAGGGTGATCTTTACTTAGTCTACCAACTCAAATGCTAATCGCTTCCTGTAAAACCCTCACAGACACACCCAGAAATGATGTTTTACATGTTATCTGGACATTCCTTATCAGTTGAGTTGACACATAAAATTAAGCATCAAACCCACCCAAAGGGCAAGGGCCATGGAATATTCATCTGCCAACTCTTGTCTATCATGAATCTGAGGGCTGTTCCCATGGCATTCATTCCTTGGTATTTCTAGCCCGCTCCGTATGTGGTGTAAGCAAGGGACACTGAGAGCCCCCCAAAAATGTGTTGCCCCCAGGCAAAATGTCACAGGTGTTAGAATTGAAAATGTAGGCTAACATCCAGGAAATGCTAAGTGCTGCGGACATGATCAGGCACAGACCATATTCCGAACTCTTGTCTCCCCTCCAGGTGCTGTGCTCCATCGTTGCAGGAGTGCTGCACTACCTCTACCTGGCCTCCTTCACCTGGATGTTCCTTGAAGGGCTGCACCTCATCCTCACCATTAGGAATCTCAAGGTGGCCAACTACACCAGTGCAGGCAAATTCAAGAAGTTCATGTACCCTTTAGGCTATGGGATTCCAGCTCTCATTGTGGCTGTGTCTGCAATAGTAGGACCCCAAAATTATGGATCACATACTCAGTAAGCATGATGTGTGCCTTTATGGTGGAAGTGGCGTCTGTGGCTGATACATGATCTGAAATCAAAAAACATTTCAGTCCATTTCCTGTTATGAATTATACTTCACAAAACCAGTCCCATTTTAAGCCAGAATTCTATTTTCTCTTAGAAATTCCTAGAGGAATGCTTCTCAGCATCTTTGGAGTTGGATCGTTTTGAGACTTTTGGTGAAATCTAGGGCTAATTTCCCCAAACAAGGAAATATACCTTTCAGACAAATGTACTTACACATAAAATTTTGAACACAACTTCAGGACATTAGGGACAAAAAAGTATACTCAGAAAATTCAGGGACAGAAAAGCCCACCTCTGGCCTCTGTGTTCTGGAGGATTCTGGAAGAGCTTGAGATTCATCCCAAAATGTAAAGAGTAACAACAATAGCAACAAATCTTGAAGGCCTGTGATGCATCAGAGATAGTGCATATCATGTCTCATTCTCCCCGTGATCCTGTGGGGTAAGCACGGTTCATCACCCATACTCAGGACATCTGGGTCCTAGCGCATCTAAGAAACTTTCTTAAGGTCTCAGCTAAAAACAGAATAAGTCAGAATTCCTCACTAAAGGAATTGCTGCCTCACTAAAGAAGTTTGCAAAGCTCTGCAAAGTTAGTTGAAGACATTAGTATTTTGGCAATGGGGCTTCGGTTAGGGAGTAGGCATGCATGTGCTAAAACAACATGATGAAGGTGTCTCTCTTGAAGAAAAAAAGATGTCCTGTCTCCAGCCTGAACCCTATGTCCTGCTAGAATGATTCTGGAGATCTCATGGTAGCATAGATCAAGGGTTGACAAACTTTCTATAAAGGGCCAAATGGTAAATGTTTTTGTCTCTGAGGGCCATATGATCTTTGTGGCAATTACTCAATGTTGCCCTTGTGGTGGGAGAGCAGCCAATTCATAGACCATATATAAATGGATGGGTGTGGTTATGTTTCAATAAAGCTTTATTTACAAAAACAAGGGGTGGACTGGATTTGGACTGTGGGTCATCATTTGTAAAACTTGGAAGAGAACTTAAGTGTCGGAGCTTTTCTGCTCACTGAGTGTTGGCAATTGCTTGTTACATTTACTAGTTTTATGCTGCCAGGTCTTTGTTCAGGATAATTTATACTATCTTTGCCAACATAAGGCATGATTTAATAAAAAGTATTTGGGCAACAGTGTACTTGATACCTGGAAAATATTTAGTGTTGGTAGGTATTCTTGTAGTTAAATTACTACTTTTACTCTCTTTCTGATAGCAATCATTATTTGGGGGCACTATTTATTGAACCTTACCTCTTTGCCAGGAACCATACTCAAAAACTACATACACATTATCTCATTTGATCTTTCCTACAAGATCTATCTATATGGGGAAAACTGAAAAAGTCTGATGAAAAAAATCAAAGAAGATTCAAATAAATGGAGAGATAGTCCATGTTCATGGATAGGAAGATTCAATATTGTCAAGAAGTCAGTCAGTTCCTCCCAAATTGATCTATAGATTCAATGCATTCACAATAACAATCTCAGAAAATTATTTTGTAGATATTGATAAACTGATTCTAATGTTTATATAGAGAAGCAAAAGATCCTAAGTAGCTAACACAATATTGAAGGAGAGGAATGAAGTCAGAGGACTGACCCTATCTGACTTCAAAACTTGGCATATAGCCACTGTAATCATGTAATCTTTTCAATACTTCCATTTGCCCCCACTTTACACTTGAGGAAACTGAGGCTTAGAGCATATAGCTTGTGTCAGATGAGGACCCATGTCTGATGGCACTAAAATCTAGGTTCTGAATGAAATGGTTCCCAGCACTGGTTGGATCTTGCTACAGGAGTCTGAATTCAAACTCTCTGCCCTCTGAGAAATAGGCAGCTCATGCATACCCTTCTCTCAACAGCTGCTGGCTCAAGCTCAATAAAGGGTTCATCTGGAGTTTCATGGGGCCAGTGGCAGTCATTATCTTGGTAAGTGACTAGTGATAGTTATTTATGGGTGTGTCTGCCCTGGGTTAGCCTAGCATGGAGTGCATTTCTTGCTGTGAAAATGGAAATGAAGTGAAGATAAGAAAATATAGCCTAATGTGATTAATTCCTCTTCCTAGAAATACTGTCTTCATATGTCTTTCCCTTGCTCCCTTATGGATTACTAAGGGAGCTGTGATATAATATAACTCTCTGCTGGGGATTCTTGTAAAAACCTATGTTTGTTCATTCAACAAACATTTAGCAAGTATCTACTCTGCACAGAGTGACATGTTCTCCTGTTTGCCAACAACTTTCTGATCACATCCATTGTCCTGGTATAGACATTAATAGTAATCTTTCACTTTCAAGGGATCTTGGTTTGAATGATACATTATATAGTCACCCTAATTAAGCACCAAGTGCCCCAGGTCCATATACACACAATGTGCTGTATAAAATACCAGAGCATAACATCCTATGAAGCCAGTATCTTTTGGAAAAAGATACTTAGGTCCACCTCAAATTGGGTTTCATGACATGGTCTCAAAATAAAATTCCAAGTCAATATTTCATTCTGTGTCCACAGATAAACTTGGTGTTGTACTTCCAAATTCTGTGGATTTTGAGAAGCAAACTTTCCTCCCTCAATAAAGAAGTTTCTACCATTCAGGACACCAGGTAAGAAGGTCCCAGAATCAGTGGTATCCACAGATTTTTCCTACAAGGCTACTTTTCTTTCTACCTGGGAAAGAAAAACCTATACAAAAATCTGATATTAACGCTCAGCATCAGGGAAATCCAAATCAAAACCTCAATGAGATACCACCTCACACCAATCAGAATGGCTAAAATTTACAAGTCAGGAAACGACAGATGTTGGCGGGGATGCGGAGAAAGGGGAACCCTCCTACACTGTTGGTGGGAATGCAAGCTGGTGCAGCCACTCTGGAAAACTGTATGGAGGTTCCTCAAAAAGTTGAAAATAGAGCTACCATATGATCCAGCAATTGCACTACTGGGTATTTACCCCAAAGATACAAAAGTAGGGATCCGAAGGGGTACGTGCACCCCGATGTTTATAGCAGCAATGTCCACAATAGCCAAACTGTGGAAAGAGCCAAGATGTCCATCGACAGACGAATGGATAAAGAAGATGTGGTATATATATACAATGGAATATTATGCAGCCATCAAAAGGAATGAGATCTTGCCATTTGCAACGACGTGGATGGAACTGGAGGGTATTATGTTGAGTGAAATAAGTCAAACAGAGAAAGACATGTATCATATGATCTCATTGATATGAGGAATTCTTAATCGCAGGAAACAAACTGAGTGTTGTTGGAGTGGGGGGTGGGGTGGGAGGGATGGGGTGACTGGGTGATAGACACTGGGGAGGTTATGTGCTCTGTTAAGCGCTGTGAATTGTGCAGGACTGTTGAATCTCAGATCTGTACCTCTGAGACAAATAATGCAAGAGATGTTAAGAAAAAAAAAAAGAAGAAGAAGGTAGCGGGAGGGGAGGAATGAAGCAGGGGAAATCGGAGGGGTGGACGAACCATGAGAGACGATGGACTCTGAAAAACAAACTGAGGGTTCTAGAGGGGAGGGGGGTGGGAGGATGGGTTAGCCTGGTGGTGGGTATTGAGGAGGGCACGTTCTGCATGGAGCACTGGGTGTTGTGCACGAACAATGAATCATGGAACACTTCATCTAGAACTAATGATGTAATGTATGGGGATTAACATAAGAATAAAAAAAAATTAATTAATTTAAAAAAATCTGATATAAAATTTCATGGTACTGGATAAAGGGTGTGTGCAGTACAACTTCTGGAAGTAAAAACTATAATTTTCAGGTAGCTTAATGTACTCCTTGATCTCTTTATTCAAAAATATTCATTGGGTTCCTTCTTTGTGTAGCAAACTCTTCATCTGAAATTCATGCCAAGAGTATCAACATTATCCTCCCTCCCCCACCCCGCTAGTCCACCCACTTCTGGACTCCATTATCCTTGGTTGTAGACACTCAGTTCTTACTGTGCTGGTCTAAATTATTAAAAATAACGATAAGAACAACTAACATTAACTAGGAACTTAGTAGATGTTTGGAGTTTACCAATATTCTTTTACTGAATGCTCATAACTTCAATCTATGTGGTGGGCACAACTACCATCCCCCCATTGATAAGAGGAGCAAGTGCTTATTTTACCCAAGCATGGGCAAAAATTTGCATTGGTGAGTCATGTGGACAAAACTTAAAGGAATATCTTTCCAATTTCAGACCCTGGCTTTGATCTCATCTACTTATCAGACCGAGCTAACATCTCTTTGCCTTAGTATTTTTAGTCTTGGAGGGTCACAGCTTCACCCTTCTTGGCGTTTCTTCATCTCTCTACACGTGTTGGATGAGTACAGGCTCACTCCCCGGTGTGCATGCACACACACACACTCACACGTGTCATCTCTCCTAGACAGTTGCCACCAAGAACCCCATTCTGTTTTATAAAACACAATTTTCCTTTGAAGAAACACAACAGCACGTTCTATTCTGAAGTCATGATATCATCATCAACACATTTTCAATACAAATTTCTAGAAGGCACTACCACACATCTTCCAATAGATCCAGGTAAAAGACTTGCAGATAAATCACTTCCAAGAATAGGAGAAAGCATTATTCTCAGAAGCAGCCATGGCAAACATGGGTTCTGCCTCATCTTCAAGTTGTATTTCTTTGCATAGATCACTTAAACACATGGGGTTGATGTGAAGTTTAAATCAGGTAATATGTGCAAAGCATTTAGCACTGCACCCAACACATAGTGATGAATGATACTTATTATTGCTCCTGTTCCTTTTCAGAGTCATGACATTTAAAGCCATTGCTCAGCTATTTATCCTGGGCTGTTCTTGGGGCCTTGGCCTTTTTATGGTTGAAGAGGTCGGGAAAGTGATCGGATCAGTCATTGCATACACATTCACCGTCATCAATGTCCTTCAGGGTGTTTTGCTCTTTGTGGTACACTGTCTCCTTAATCGCCAGGTAAGGCTAATTATTTTGTTTCTCAACAGCCAACTCTCAAAGTCTTATTGAATGGTTGTTCCCATTCTCACCTTTCTCTGACATTTCATATTTGTATTTGGGTTTCCTTATTCTGAAAGGAGGGTTTAGGTGATGATTTGATATGCTGTGTGCTCTGGGTTTCACTAGCATCTGACTAACCTTCACATTCCAACCTATCTCTTAAGAGTATGCCTTTTTGTCACCTGGGGATGACACATCAAAATACCATAGACTGTGTGGCTTGGGCAACAGAAATTTCTCGTATAATTCTAGAGGCTGGAAATCTGAGTTCAGAGTTCCTGTGCAGTTGGGTTCTTGTGAGATCTCTGTTCTTTTTTGCAGATGGCCACCTTCTTGCTCTACCCTTACATGGGAAAGAGAAGGAGAGAGCTTTTATGCCTCTTCTTATCAGGACACTAATCCTATTGGATCAGGGCTCCACCCTTGTGGCCTCATTTAATCTTAACTGCTTCTATAAAGGCCATCATGTCTTCAAATACAGTCATACTGGGAAGTTAGGGCTTTAACATGTGAAGTTTGAGGAGACATAGTTCAGTCCATAGCAGAGCATGTATCAGTCAGCATAAGGGAGATTATGATTCAGTAACTTATAGCCACCACCCTCTAATTTCAGTGGTTTATAACAATAAAGGTTTATTTCTTGCTCATGCTACATAGCCATGGCTTGATCTACATTGTCTTCACTCTGGGATATAGGTTGAATAAGGTCAGCCCTTATTTAGAACACTGGTATTCTCATGGCCAAGGGAAGGGAGATCCTGGCAAAGTGAGCTTAATTAGCTCTCTTTCATTGGGTGGAGCAAGTTCCTTGGCCATACCTGAGTTCACCAGAAAGAGGATACAGAAGCCTCTTATAGTGAGGTGCACTTTATGGAGGGACACTGGAATATTTGACTTACTATGCCAAAAACAGAGTGACTTCAGCTTTAATGTAGGTTTTCCACTGAGTAGGTTGCTGTGTGACCTTAGCCAGCCATCTTACCCTCTCTGAGCCTCAATCTTCTCACCTGTGTTCGTGGCAATACCTGCCTCACAGGATTAAGAATTAAAAGAGATATTGCGGGGGGGGGGCAAGATGGCAACAGAGTAGGGGACCTTGTTCCATCTGGTCTCTCAAAGTTAGATGGATATTTATCAAACCATTCTGAACACACATGAATTCAACCTGAGATGTAAGAAGATTTATCTGGATCTCTACAAGCAGAAAAATGACTACTTTTTGCAAAGTAGGAGGTGCAGAACCTTGAAGCTTTGGGGGAAATATCAGAAGATAAACAGAGGGGAAATGGACCCTCCATAAGCTAACCCCTGGAAAGTGATATAACACTGGAGCAAAAAATGAGGACCCTTAGAAATCTGCTCCAGTGAGAGACATCCCTTTCTGAAAAGGGCACAGGGGATGAATAAGGCAGAATTCTAGGTGGATCATTGTGGTCTCAGAATTCCAGGAGACTCAGAAAGTATGGGGGAGTCTGACTAGTAGAGTGCCCAAGCAGTGGAGCGAGGAGAGTGGTTATGGTCAATGAGCCCAGAAGGGACTCTCAGATCCAGTCACCATAAACTGCCAGCTGGCTTGTAGCGAGACCACTCTCTTCCTGACCACCCTGAAAAGGACTAGAAGGTGCAGGCTATTTAACATCTCAGGTGAGATATAAAACGGCTTGTGCCCATGACTGGACAACAGCTCTCAGGGTAGTGTGGCCCATGAAAGAATACTGGGGAGGCACCCAGCCATGAACTGGGAGCCACAGAAGAGGGTACATGCACAAGCCCACAGCCACTAGCAATTGCTAAGTAACAAAGCGCACAGATGCTCTCAGGTCCCCATAACTCCCCTGGGAGAGTTGCGGAGGGTGGGAATAGCACGAGTCTGTGGAGTTTGGTACACACAGAAGTGGAGATGATTTGACCTGGCAGGTTTATTGAAGAAAGGGGACAGCGAACTTGTGGCTCTGGGCCAGAGATTCCTGAATGGCCATATTTGTTCTGACCCTCTAAAGAGAAGCCGAAACCCACCAGGGAACAAAAGCCACACAAATGACCAGCTCACATTAAGCTCATCCCCCTGACAAGGGGTGGGGCATTCCATCCAGGTAAAGACACCTGAGAAGCCAAGCAGCAGGCCCCTCCCCCAGAAGATAGACTGGAAGAACAGGTGAATGATAAGCTTATTTCCCAAAGGACTGTAAAACTCCAGTGCCAGGGGGAAAATAATATAGGAAGCTCCAGGTTCTCTCATGAAGCATTTATACTTCAGGCTAAAATTTTACGTTTTTTTTTTGTTTCTTTTCTTTTTCTTTCTTTTTTTGTTTTACCCTGTTCATGTTTCAAATAGATTCTTATTTCTCAAGTTATGTTTTAGGCTGCTTTTTAACTTTTATTTGTTCACTTCTACGTTTTATAGACTATTCCCCATACTAGTCCATTTTTCACTCTATTCAATTTTATCTTGATAAATATATAAGTTCTGATTTCTTTGCAATTTTGGGATATAGTGTCTTCAAACACACAGGCCAAAAATCAATCAGGAACAGGCAGATAACCCTGCTTTGTCCACCCTGAGAGATTATAAGCTCTCCCCCACCTTTTTTTATTGTTTTGGATCATCTTGGCTTTGTTTGCATATCTGTGGTAGCTTCCGACCACTTTGGATTTTTTTTAGGGTGCATTTCGCTTGGGTGGTGGTTGATATTTTGGACTCTGTTCATTCACTCAACCATCCCTCTACAGAATGACTAGGAGGAGGAACTCTCAACAAAGAAAAGAACCTGAGACAATGTCCTCTGCCACAGAACTAATGGATATGGAAATAAGCAAGATGTCAGAGATAGAATTCAGGATAGCAATAATGAAGTCAATAGCTAGGCTTGAAAAAAAGCATTAATGACAGTATAGAATCTCTAAGGGAAGAAATGAGATGTAATTAGGCCAAACTTAAAAATGCTATGACTGAGATACAGTCTAAACTGGATAGTCTAACAGCCAGAGTAAATGAGGCAGAATAGAGAATAGTGATCTAGAAGATAAGCTGATGGAAAGGAAGGAAGTCGAGGAAGACAGAGATAAGCAGCTAGCAGCCTATGAAAATAGAGAGATTAATGATACCATGAAATGTTCCAATGTCAGAATTATTGGGATCCCTGAGAGGGTGGAGAGAGAGAGAGGACTAGAAGGTATATTTGAACAAATCATACCTGAGAACATCCCTAATCTGGGGAAGGAAACAACCATTCAAGTCCAAGAGGCAGAGAGGACCCCTACCAAAATCAATAAAAATAGATCAACACCCTGACATATAATAGTGAAGCTTGCAAATCTTACAGCTAAAGAAACTATCCTGAGAACAGTTAAGGGGAAGGAGGTTCCTTACATATGAACAGAACATCAGAATAACATCAGACCTATCAGCAGAGACCTGGCAAGCCAGAAAGGGCTGGCAAGACATATTCAGGTTACTAAATGAGAAGAACATGCAGCCAACAATATTTCATCCAACAAGGCTGTCATTCAGAATGGATGGAGAGGGACACCTGGGTGGCTCAGTCATTAAGTGTCTGCCTTCGGCTTGGATCATGAGCCCAGGGTCCTGGGATCAAGCCCTGCATCAGGCTCCCTGCTCAGCAGGAAGCCTGCTTCTTCCTCTCCCTCTCCCACTCCCCCGGCTTGTGTTCCTGCTCTCACTATCTTTCTCTCTGTCAAATAAATAAATAAAATATTTTTTAAAAGAATGGATGAAGAGATAAAGAACTTCCAGGACAGGCAGAAAATGAAAGAATATGTGACCACCAAGCCAGCCCTGCAAGAAATATTAAGGGGGATTTGGTAAGCAAAGAGAGACCCCAAGTGTAATATAGACCAGAAATTAACAAGACCATCTACAGAAACAAGGACTTTACAGGCAATACAATAGCACTAAATTCATATCTTTCAATAGTTACTCTCAATGTAAATAGGCTGAATGCTCCCATAAAAAGACACAGGATTTCAGATTGGATAAAAAAGCAGGACCCATCCATATTGTCTACAAGAGACTCGTTTTGAACCTAAAGAAACATCCACACTGAAAGTGAGGGGACAGAGAACCATTTACCATGCCAACGGACCTCAAAAGAAAGCTGGGGTAACAATCGTCATAACAGACAAATTAGATTTTTTTTATTATTATTATGTTATGTTAGTCACCATACAATACATCATTAGTTTTTTTAACTTTTTTTATTATGTTAATCACCATACATTACATCATTAGTTTTTGATGTGGTGATCCATGATTCATTGTTTTCCTATAACACCCAGTGCTTCAAATTAGATTTTAAACCAAAGACTGTAGTAAGAGATGTAGAGGGACACTATATCATACTTAAAGGGTCTATCCAACAAGAAGATCTAGCAATTGTAAATATCTATGCCCCCAACATGGGAGCAGCCAATTATATAAAACAACTAATAACCAAAAAAAGAAACATATTGAAAATAATACATTAATAGTAGGAGACTTCAACACTCGATTCACAGCAATGGACAGATAATCTAAGCTGAAGATCAACAAAAAAACAAGAGCTTTGAATGACACATTGGACCAGATGGACTTCATAGATATATACAGAACATTCCATCCCAAAACAACAGAATACTCATTCTTCTTGAGTGCACATTGAACTTTCTCCAGAATAGACCACATACTGGGTCACAAATCAAGTCTCAACCAATACCAAAAGATTGAGATTATTCCCTGCATATTTTCAGAACACAATGCTTTGAAACTGGAATTCAACCACAAGAAAAAAATTTGGAAGGAACTCGAACTGTTGGAGGTTAAAAAGCATCCTACTAAAGAATGAATGGGTCAACCAGGAAATTAAAGAAGAACATAAACAATTCATGGAAACCAATGAGAATGAAAACACATCGGTCCAAAACCTATGGGATAATGCAAAGGTGGTCCGAAGGGGGAAATACATAGCCATCCAAGCCTCTCTCAAAAAATTAGGAAAATCCCAAATGCACAAGCTAACCTTACACCTAAAGGACCAGGAGAAAGAACAGCAAATAAAGCCTAAACCAAGGAGGAGAAGAGAAATAATAAAGATTAGAGCAGAAATCAATGAAATAGAAACTAGAACAGTAGAACAAAACAATGAAACTAGAAACTGGTTCTTTGAAAGAATTAATAAGATCGATAAACCTCTGGCCAGACTTATCCAAAAGAAAAGAGAAAGGACCCAAATTAATAAAATCATGAATGAAAGGGGAGAAATCATGACAAATACCAAGGAAATAGAGACAATTATTAGAACTTATTAACAGCAGCTATATGCCAACAAACTAGGCAATCTGGAAGAAATGGATGCATTCCTAGAAACTTATAAACTACCAAACTGAAACAGGAAGAAATAGACAATCTGAACAGACCCATAACCAGCAAGGAAATTGAAACAGTAATCAAAAACCTCCCAAAACACAAGAGTCCAGGGCTAGATGGCTTCCCAGGGGAATTCTGCCAAACATTTAAAGAAGAAATCATGGATACCAGCCCTTTATCTGTAGTGTCATTTGCAAATATCTTCTCCCATTCTGTGGGAGTTTGTCTCTTTGTTTTGTTGATTGTTTCCTTTGCTGTGCAGATGCTTTTTATCTTGATGAAGTCCCAAAAGTTCATTTTTGCTTTTGTTTCCCTTGCCTTTGGAGGCATGTTTTGAAAGAAGTTGCTGTGGCCAACGTTGAAAAGGCAACTACCTATGTTCTCCTCTAGGATTTTGATGGATTCCTGTCTCACATTGAGGTCTTTCATCCATTTTGAGTTGGTCTTTCTGTGTGGTCATGCCATTGTTGTTTAACATAGTACTAGAAGCCCTAGCATCAGCAATCAGACAACAAAAAGAAATAAAAGGCACCCAAATTGGCAAAGAAGAAGTCAAACTCTCACTCTTCACAGATGATATGATACTTTATGTGGAAAACCCAAAAGACTCCACCCCTAAATTACTAGAACTCATATAGCAATTCAGCAATGTGGCAGGATACAAAATCAATGCACAGAAATCAGTGGCATTTTTATAGACTAACAATGTAACTGAAGAAAGAAATTAAGGAATTGATTCAATTTATAATAGCACCAAAAACCATAAGATACCAAGGAATAAATCTAACTAAAGAGGTAAAGGATCTATACTCTAGAAACTACAGAACACTTACGAAAGAAATTGAGGAAGACACAAAAAGATGGAAAAACATTCCATGCTCTGGGATTGGAAGAACAAATATAGTTAAAATGTCTTACTGCCCAGAGCAACCACACTTTCAATGCAATCCTTATCAAAATACCATCAACATTTTTCACAGAGCTGGAACAAACAATCCTAAAATTTGTATGGAACCAGAAAAGACCCTGAATCACCCCAAGAAAATGTTGAAAAATAAAAACAAAGCTGGGGGCATCACAATGCCTGACTTCAAGCTATATTACAAAGTTGTGATCATAAGACAGCATAGTATTGGCACAAAAACAGACACATAGATTAATGGAACAGAATAGAGATCCCAGAAATGGACCCTCAACTCTATGGTCAACTAATCTTCGACAAAGCAGGAAAGAACATCCAGTGGAAAAAAGACAGTCTCCTCAATAAATGGTGCTGGGAAAATTGGACAGCCACATGCAGAAGCATGAAACTAGATCATTTTCTTACACCATACCCAAAGATAAACTCAAAATAAATGAAAGACCTCAATGTGAGACAGGAATCCATCAAAATTCTAGAGGAGAACAGAGGAAGTAGCCTCTTTGACATTGGACACAGTGACTTCTTTCAAGACATGTCTCCAAAGACAAGGGAAACAAAAGCAAAAATGACCTTTGGGGACTTCATCAAGATAAAAAGCTTCTGCACAGCAAAGGAAACAGTCAACAAAACTAAGAGGCAACCCACAGAATGGGAGAAGATATCTGCAAATGTCATTACAGATAAAGGGCTGGTATCCAAGATCTTTAAAGATCTTCTCAAACTCAACTCCTAAAAAACAAAGAATCCAGTCAAGAAATGGGCAGAAGACATGAACAGACACTTCTCCAAAGAAGAAATATAAATTGTCAACAAACACATGAAAAAATGCTCAACGTCACTAGCCATCAGGGAAATACAAATCAAAAGCACAATGAGATACCACCTTACACCAGTTAGAATGGCTAAAATTAACAAGACAGGAAACAACAAATGTTGGCGAGGATGTGGAGAAAGGGGAACTCTCTTACACTGTTGGTGGGAATGCAAGCTGGTGAGCCACTCTGGAAAACAGCATGGAGGTTCTTCAAAAAGTTAAGAATAGAGCTACCCTATGACTCAGCGATTGCACTACTAGGTGTTTACCCCAAAGATACAGGATGTAGTGAAAAGAAGGGCACATGCACCCCAATATTCATAGTAGCAATGTCCACAATAGCCAAACTGTGGAAGGAGGGGAGATGTCCTTCAACAGATGAATGGATAAAGATGTGGTTCATATATACAAAGAATATTACTCAGCCATCCTAAAGGTTGAATACCCACCATTCACTTTGAGATGGATGGAACTGGAGGGGATTATGTTAAGTGAAATAAGTCAAGCAGAGAAAGGGAATTATCATATGTTTTCACTCATATGTGGAACATAAGGAATATCATGGAGGACCACAGGGGAAGGGAGGGGAAACTGAATGGAAAGAAATCAGAGAGGGAGACAAACCATGAGAGACTCTGGACTCCGGGAAACAAACTGAGGGTTACAGAAGGGACGGTGTGGGAGAATGGGGTGACCAGGTGATGGGTATTAGGAGGGCATGTGTTGGGATGAGCACTGGGTGTTATATACAACTAATGAATCATTGTACACTACATCAAAAACTAATTATGTACTATATGCTGGCTAATTGAACATAATAATAAAAAAATTAAAATAAGAAAGAAAGAAAGAAAGTTAAAAAAGAGATAATGCAATATGAATCTCCTAGTGCAGTCCTTGGCATACATTAAGTTCTTGTAAGGGTCATCTTCTTGTATTTTTACTCCTTTTAGATGATTGGAAACAGTTTTCCTGGCTTTTCTCGCTTTGCTATTGGGCAGGACTACCAACCATTAAGATGCTGGAGACAAAGACAGCTGCATAACACTTCATTTATTTCTCTTTCATCTCCTAGTGCCTTCTTAATTGTTGGTATCCTCACACCCAGAAGTACAGTACAACTTAAGTGTCTTTGTGAAATAATGTTGAATATTAAATATTTAAATATCTTTTTATAACACGTTAAGCAGGTTTCAGGAAGGAATCCATGCAATCACAGGGAGTGGTTCAGCATAGCAGTTAGTGTCGGGGCTCTGGTGTGAGAATGATGAGGTGCTGAAGGCTGGCTGTATGACGTTAATAAGTCCATTTACTTCCAACAGCTTCAGCTTCTTTATCTTTAATTGGGGGTAATAGAAGAACCTTCCTCACTTGGTTTATGTAGGATGAAATTATATATTGGGTAAAATAAAGTGTACTGGAGATTGCTAGTGTTCAATAAATGTTGACTTTCATTGTTATAATCACCACCACCACCACCATCATCTGCACTGTCATCATTATGACCATCATCACTTCCATGATAACCATCACCTTCTCCATCCTCCTCCTCTTCATTGTCAGAATCATCATCACCACCACCACTCTATAGACTCTAAAGAGACTTTGTGATGCCTGAAATTTATTTAGTAAATACATTCAGCAAAAGTTGAATTTTAGAATGAACCTAGAAGAGGATGTCCAAGACTATACAAGAAACCAATGAGAGGGTAGTCATGGGGCTTGGCATGTATATCTTTAACCTCCTATTCAGGGTCCTTTCTCCCTAAGTAAGCTCCTGATGTGACACAAACCTCTATATTCCTCAGGTGCGAATGGAATACAAGAAGTGGTTTAGTGGGATCTGGAAAGGGGTTGAAACTGAAAGTATTGAGGTAACACATTCTACGACCCAAACCAAAACGGTAAGACCAACTTCTCTACAATGCTGTGTACTGGCTGAACCCAACATCTTGTACTGCCAGGAGTTTCCTGGTCTCTTGATCTGAAGGAAAAGAGAAATTACATTACTTCCTCCATTATGCTGGTGCTTTCTGGTTTTTGAGGCCAAAATCAGTGGAACACTTCCCTTCCCTTCCTTCTTCCTTTCTTCCTCCCTTCCTTCTTCCTTCCTTCCTTTCTCTCCCTCTCTCTCTCCAGTCTTTCCATAAACATCCAAATGATATTTATCAAGAAACTTAAATTTATTTAACAATGTTCATTTAACAAATATTTACTGAGTAGCCAGTACATGCCAGATGCTGTTTTAGGTGCTGGGGAAACAGCAGAAGATACACTGACAAAAATCCTTGCCCTCACAGAACTAATATTCTGGTTGGGGGAGGCTGAGAATAAACCCCCAAACATGGATTATACAGTATTTCACAAAGTGATGTGGGCTATGGAAAAATACAGAGCAGTGAAGAGAAATCAGGACTCATGAGGTGGGGGGAGTTTGGTTTCCAGTATGGTGGCCACTGACAATCTTTCACTGTCTATCACCACCTTCTATTTTAATTCTCTGCATGTTGTGCCTCTCTGTATGATACTTGTTTTATTCTGAAAAATATGAAAGTGTTTACGTTTGGTCAATCTCTACCCCCTGAAGTTTCAGTGCTGTGGTTACTATGATTTTCCTTCTACCTAGAGCAATGCCTGGCCCACAAAAGATGCTCACTTAACTTGTTGAGTGTCTAAGGTCCTTGTTTATAGATGAGAACTCAGACTGGGAAAGTCCACATAATTGGCCTGAAGCTACTCAGCTGGGTACAGGGGTTCAGACTCAGGTCTGTTTTCCTCTGAAAGTTGACAACATTCCTTGGTTGTCACCAGAGTTGTTTGTCACTGCAGATCGTCAACAACTTTTGGGACCAGCTTCCTGGGACATGCACTTTCAGACCGAGGACAATTCTGTTTACTGGCTGCTGACTGTGTCCTAACAGTATATGCCACTGATTCACCCCTTGGCTGAAATCACCAGCAGTCAAAGGTTATGCCAACCTGAACTGTGTAAAGGAACTGTCCCAACACATGTGGTCTCCAAAAGCATGTTGCATAGTGGAACCCATTGCATGGATTCTGGGGCTCACCGGATTTGAGTTTGAATCTTGATTCTTTCAGGTTCCAGCTGGTAGATGCTGGGCAAGGAGCTTAACCTCCCTGAGCCTCAATTCGTTCATCATTGAAATGTCTGGTTGACTGAGTAACAAAACAATGTACATGAAAGCACTTTGCTCTACTCTGAACCATGTCAACACTACTTGTATGAACACCACATTATCAAGAGTCAACTATATAGAAGGCCCCAAACAGTGATCCTATCCTCTTATCTTTGGACAACATTTTACATTCTAAAATGCACATATTCAGGGCTCAGCATCCCAATCTTGGTTTCAGCTCAGGTCATGATCTCAGGGTTGTGAGATCCAGCCCCACCTCAGGCTCCGAGCTAAGCGTGGAGTTTGCTTGAGATTCTCTCTCTCCCTCTCTCTGCCCCTCCCCCAACTCGTTCTCACACTCTCTCTAAAAAATTAAATACGTAAAAATAAAAAACAAAAAGTGGATATTCAACCTTACAGGCTTCATTGATCCTCTGTAGCATTTAGTGATCCTTCATTGTTTGAATGGAGCCAACGTGCCTGAGTTCAAGTCCCAACTCCACCACTTCCAGGCTGCATGAGCCTGTGCTAACCATTTACTGTCTCTAAGCCTCAGGACTTCATCTGTATGATGAGGATGGTGATAGGATCTATCTCATCATGAGAAGAAAGCAAGGTTATATGTGTTAAGAGCTTAGAATGCTGCTTGGCACACAGTAAACAAACACCCTGAAAATGTTTGTGAAAAGATCAGATAAATAAAAAGACCATCATAGATGGTGTTTGGGGGAGGAAAGACTGTAAAGTCAGGTATTAAGATATTAGTCAGATCTTAATGAACTTTGGATCTTAGAGAAATTCTGGTTTGTCATTTCCTGAGGTGTTAATTTCTTTTCAGCTTGTTCTACATATTATCTCCCCAAATAGGAGGAACCAGGGACGTCATCAGAAGTCTTTCCCAGAAGAGATGCTCCTTCTGTGCAACCTCAGCATCAGACTCCTATCCCTGCTTTTTGGCTAAGAACATAAAACTGAGCTGCTTCTGGACAGTGCCCCCTGTGGTCACACATGGATTGGACAAATGCCACCATCTGTATCTTCCTCCTGAAAGCAGTTCTGAGGCCTTACTCTATTGGCTTCTCGGTCCTTAGAAAGAAGGGGTCATGGGGAAACCTCTGAGACCCATACCCAGTATTGTTTACCACATGCCATTAAATGTTCAAGGAATAATTTTTAATAATGAAGGAATAAGGGGATTTTCTTCTTCCAGCTATTGCTACCTTGCCCAGGATTTATTGGCCAACATCTAGATTCACCTGGCAGGTTTCTCTCTCTGGGCATTTGATGTTGCATTTTATGCTCTTGAAGATTTTGCAAACTCGACACTTTCAGAATTCAGTAATTCCCATATGAATAAGTATTTAAAAAGGGGGGTTGCATTCTTGCAATGCAAAATTCCACCACCATCCATCTTAGGAGCACGTTGTCAACAGGAAGGGTCTTGTGGCCAGGAGACCAGCACCGACTCCTTTGTTAGATGACTTTCAAACTTACTCATTTATTGGGTTAATTTTGTTTTCTTAGTGTCATCTGGAAATGCTCCCAAACCAACAGCATGAAGGTCACAGCAGTTGTTTGGCCTTATTTGTTTTCTTTTAATATCTCTAATTTCTTTTTCAAAGTAATTGGATTCTAGGAATGTTTTTCAGCACTGGAATTAATAAATGCATGGCTAACTTTGTTACCAGAAGGTATTTTAAAACCAATTTTACATGATAACAGCAGGAAAGGTAAAAATAGGAGCAAAGAGTTGCCAGATTCATTTGAAGAGATTTCATGTGCAGTTTTTAGGTGGTGGACCAAAGACTGTGTCCCTTTTCTGCTTAATCAGCTCAAGTGTCTCTTCCACATGGCAGCAATGCAACAAGAGTATATGATTCACTCCATCTGCTGGCCTTAAAATATTGTTATTCCTTTTGAACAGTAAAAATTTTGGGAGATTCACATGCTTTCAAAAGGTATGCCTGCAGTGTTAATTTTTATATCTGCAATTTCAAATTTGCACAAATAAAACTTGCAGGAAATGCAACCTTCCTGGGCAGTTGACAAATCCTTGCACTTAAGTCCCACAAGTGTTGCTGCTGTTTTTGTGTTCAAGACAGTTGCAAGAAGAGGATAAACCAGCCAAATGTTCTAGGTGCTGTGCACTTGGACCTCTCTATTCAATATTTTTCCTCCCCTCCCAACATGAAGTCTGCTTTCTTTCTCTTTTCTGCCTCTCTCACTCCTTTGCTTTCTTTAAGAAGTAGCTTCTTCATCCTTCAAGAACCTTTTCTTCTTCTAGCTCTCAGAAATCCATCTCCTTTACCCACTCTATTATCATCTGTATGACTTGACTTACCCTGTATTTTGTGTGCTGTTGCACACATGATGTGTGTGCTTGTAAATCATGCCTGCTTGGATCATAAACTTCTGGAAGGTCAGAATGATAAATGTCTTAATGATAAATTAAAAAGGTGATAAGTGAAATGTTCCTTGCCTCCACTTAGAGCATTACTTCTCAAGGTCTGCACTATTGACATTTTGGGTTTTATAATTCTTGGTTGTGGGTGGCTATCCTTTGCATTGCCGGATGTTGAGCAGCATCCCTGGCCTCTACCAGTTAGATGCCAGTAACCACCCCACCCCACACACCCATTGCAACAATCAAAAATGTCTCCAGACATTTTCACCTGGGAATAGAAATGATCCTGTTGAGAATTTACTGGTCTAAGCATTAGTTCATAGTGAACAGGCAACTGCTGAAGAAGTCCTTTGTGGTCAGCCAGCTGTTCCAGGAAATGAATAATCAAACAGAAGCCAGAATGTGGTTGCTAGGTGCCTACTCTATACTTAGAGGTGGTGGTATGTGTGGGGAACGCCTCTTGTGTTGTCTGCCCAGTTCTTCTTTTCTGGGAACTGCCCACCCCACTGAGGTAGAAGCAAAATCCACTTCTGCTTCTATGCAACATGCACTTTTGCTTAGAGGGCCCATGCTTGGGTTAGTGCTCCAGAGGAGAGAAAATAAAACTAAGGGACTCGAAGATGGGAGCTCTTAAGATTTTCTTTTATTGCATCAGAGAATACTTTGAGAGCCTGATTTTGAAAAAGTGACTCCTCTCCCTGCAAAAACACATATAGGCAGCAATCAATCAGAGATGCTTTTATTTGTAAGTAATAGAAACCTAACTGACCTGCTTTGCTGCTCCAAATGTGGCCTGATAATCAGTAGCATAGTGGCATCTGAATCATGTGGAAATCTGGTACAAATGCAGAATCTTAGGCTCAGTCCCACATCCAGTGAATTGGGCTCTTCATTATAACAAGATCTCCAGGAGAGTTTATGCAAGTTAAAGTTTGAGAAACCTGGGGTCTGTGGATCTGCATCATCAGCATTGCCTGGGAGCTTGTTTAAAATGCAAACATCAGATGTCACCTGGGAATCATCACCAGACTCAAAATCCCTGCAGTTGGGGGCCCAGGAATCCATGGCTTAGCAAACTCTACAGGAGGTTGAGAAACACTGTCCTGCTCAAAGCGAGGTCCTCAAACCAGCAGCAAAACACTGACTACTTATTAGAGATTTAGCACTGCAGCCTTCACTCTAGACCTACTGAAGCAAACCTGCATTGTAACAAGACTCTCAGTAGATGTGGATGTTCATTTGCACTTGGGAAGCACTGCTTCGAGCAATAAAGACATTTCATGAACTCACATGACAAGGAGTCTGAGTGAGAACAGTTGAAGTCTGGTGAAGCAGCTTGATGAGGTCATCAAAGACCCAATCTCCACCCCTTTCCATCTCATCAAAAATGATACTGTTCCTTACAGACAGCTGGAGAATCTTCTGGCGTCTTTTCGATATTCAAGGAGTGAAGACAAAGCTAATGCAGTAGCTGCTTTACTGGTCCCTCCACATCTGCTCTGATGTCTGTCATCAGTGTGGCATCCAGCCAATGGGAACTGCCATCCTGATTTGCCCAGGACTAAAGAGTTTTCCCAGATGTGGGAACGTTGGTGCTAAAACCGGGACAACCCCAGGCAAACTGGGATTGTGGATCACCTTAACTTACTTGATTATGAAGTCAGATCAGGTTCCTCCACTATTCAGAATCTTAGTTCCTATAATCACAATCCAGAGTCCTCTTGGAGTGTATCCACAAATCAGGCACTTCCCCACCCTTACTTCTGGGGTTCCACCTCCTGCTATTTTCCTTCTAGCTTCCTTCTACTTCTCTCTCCAGTTGAACAGCTCTCCTGGTCCTCCTCAACCAGAACAGGCCCACTCCTGCCTCAGAAGTGGCAGGGAGTTTGCTGTTCCCACTCAGAGTGCTCTTTACCCCTAATATCTGGATGACTTGCATACACTGCAAGTCTCTTTTCTCACACCACCTTGACAATGAAGCTATCCCCATCTCTATCACCTTTCCCTGCTTTATCATCCTCGATGTACTCAGCACTATTGCACAGATGTTTACTTATTAGTTGGATTATTTCTTGTATTGTCACTGGAGTGTCTATACCACATGGGCAGGGGTTTTTGTCTGTTTTATTCACACTGTAATCTTGGTGTTTAGAATAACATCCAGCACATAGTAAGTGCTCGATAAATATTCTTGTTTTATGATGAACTTGCTGATTAGTCCTTCCTGTTCCTGGTTTAGTTCTTACACTCTCTGCTACTGTCTGTCTTGATCATTGTTTCTCATCCCCACACCTCTTTATATTTATGCTATATTTATGCATACACACAGATATACACTCAGATATGTATATATATGCTTGCCTATGTCTACAATTAGAAGACAGCATTAATCTCTACAACTAGTGTGTCAGCTTTCTTCCATGATACCTTTGCCTTTGGAGTAGAAGGTGCACCCCACTTGCCACATAACTTTATCCCTACTGGCCATCACTGATTGCAACAGTGTGGTCACCCAGGAGGGGTCAATTCATTCACTTGTCCTATAACCCATCAGATTTTCTCTCTTAAGCATTTGAACTAAGAGACCGGAATGGACCTGGCAGCTGTTCAAGAAAACATATTATTCGAACTCCTAGAGAAAAAGTCATTTAAGGACACTTGTTAGAGAACAGTAAGGCCGGCTTTATCCAAGAGGGGGAGCATCATGATGGGTATAGGGACCAGTGCAATAGGGTCTTGTAGTAAGGGAGGAGATTGGACTCAGTTCTGATTCCAACAGTGACAACTGGAGATTTATATCCAAGGAGCAGGGTAGGAGTCAGGGATATAAAATCACCAAGAGGAAACATCAGAACCAGGGGAATTCTTACTGAAGGCAAGCCAGTGTGGTAAGATATGGAGGGTGATCAGATACCAAGGGTGGGGGATTTTTGCTAAACTGTATGTCTTCTTTGGAGAAGTGTCTGTTCATGTCTTCTGCCCATTTTTTGACTTGATTATTTGTTTTTTTGGGTGTTGAGTTTGAGAAGTTCTGATTCCATATAAATTTTAGGATTGTTTGTTCCAGCACTTTGAAAAATGTCATTGGAATTTTGATCAGGATAGCGTTGAAGGTATAGGTTGCTCTTTGTGGCACAGACATTTTAACAATGTTTATTCTGATCCATGAGCATGGAATGTTTTTCCATCTTTCTGTGTCTTCTTCAATTTCTTTCATGAGTGTTCTGTAGTTCCTAGAGTATAGATCCTTTACCTCTTTAGTTAGGTTTACTCCAAGGTATCTTATGGAAAGAATTAATAAGATCGATAAATCACTGGCCAGACTTATCCAAAAGAAAAGAGAAAGGACCCAAATTAATAAAATTATGAATGAAAGGGGAGAGATCACGACTAACACCATGGAAATAGAAACAATTATTAGAAATTATTATCAACAACTATATGCCAATAAATTAAGCAACCTGGAAGAAATGGATGTCTTCCTGGAAACCTATAAATTAGCAAGATTGAAACAGGAAATAAATTGGCAACCTGAATAGGCCAATAACCCGTAACGTGATTGAAGCAGTGATCAAAAACCTCCCAAAAAACAAGAGTCCAGGGCCTGATGGATTCCCTGGGGAATTCCACCAAACATTCAAAGAGGAAATAATACCTATTATTCTGAAGCTGTTTCAAAAAAATAGAAACAGAAAGAAAGCTTCCAGACTCATTCTATGAGGCCAGTATTACCTTGATCCCCAAACCAGGCAAAGACCCCATCAAAAAGGAGAATTTCAGACTGATATCCCTGATGAATATGGATTCCAAAATCCTCAACAAAATCCTAGCTAATAGGATCCAACAGTACATTAAAAGGATCATCCACCACGACCAAGTGGGATTTATCCCTGGGATGCAAGGGTGGTTCAACATTCAAAAATCAATCAATGTGATAGAACACATTAATAAGAGAGAGAAGAACCATATCAGCCTCTCAATTGATGCAGAAAAAGCATTTGAAAAAATACAGCATCCTTTCCTGATTTAAACTCTTCAGAGTATAGGGATAGAAGGAACATTCCTCAAGTTCATAAAATCCATCTATGAAAAACCCACAGCGAATATCATCCTCAATGGGGAAAAGCTTCCTTTAAGATCAGGAACGTGACAAGGATGCCCACTCTCGCCACTATTTTTCAACATAATATTAGAAGTCCTAGCAACAGCAATTAGACAACAAAAAGAAATAAAATGTATTCAGATTGGCAAAGAAGAAGTCAAACTCTCTCTTTTCACAGATGACATGATACTTTATGTGGAAAATCCAAAAGATTCCACCCCCAAATTACTAGAACTCATACAGCAATTCAGTAATGTGGCAGGATACAAAATCAATGCACAGAAATCAGTTGCTTTCCTATACATAAGAATGTAACTGTAGAAAGAGAAATTAGAGAACTGATTCTATTTACACTAGCACCAAAAACCATAAGGTACCTTGGAATAAACCTAACCAAACAGATACCTTTTAAAATGTTGTCAAGCATGCAGCATTGGCAGGGTGGTTGATGGCTTGGCTGATTAGTGCCCCAAATTCAGCGGTGTCTTTCTTCCTTGATCCTTATTTCTGTGTCCAATGAGTTACTAAGTGATCTGAGAATTCTACGGTAAGCATGATGTGGATATCCATGGCCTATAGAGGTTTGTATTCATGATGTTGCCTTTAATTAGACTTTGACTTGACCCATGGAAATTACACCAACAGATTGTGGTCCTCTTGAAACTGCCAAGACTCCTTGAGAAATAGGTAATAAGACTCTACAATTCCCTCCCTGTTATCAGTTATCAGTTAGAAGCTGGGGGAGCTGTGGCCAAGAGGACAAACTTTCTTCTGTGTGTTGAATGTTCAACATCTTATTTTGTGGTTCTAGAACACCTGTAGTATTCAGTTGAGCTGGTGGAGGGCTGGCCTGAGGGGCATCTCTTGAGAGGGGCATGTCTGGATTTCAAATGTGTGTTAACTTAGATAGAGCCAATATTTTGATGGTTTTTATTTGCTTTCAGATACCATGTCTAATGTCTTTGGA